TGTACCTAATAGGCAATTTTAACGTGCTTCTATTTAGAGTTTAATTCTCCTAGTCTTTCCCTTTTCTTCCTTGCATACCCATTTCTACTTCCTGACACCCCCCCACACACATACCTCTGTCTCTTCCCATGTTATCGTAGTATCCATGTCATAGAAATGTTAATTTTGGAAACAGAAATAGTTAAATTTATGCTGTTTTGCACATTGTGCGTGTTTTCCAGGTTCTTTAATTAGGATTTTTGGTACATTAAATGTCCTATCAGGTAAAATAGCTGAGTCACTGGATATTCTAATGTTCCTAATTTGAAGAGAATTAACAATTTTCTAGGGATTTAGGGACTACATAGAAAGACAAATGTGGCTGGTGTTGGCTCTGTATCTTAGATATCATCTAGCTGTCTCTATATCCCCCAAACTACAGCATCACATTTTAAAATTCCTAAACTGAAAATACTTTTCTCTTTTTGTGTAATTTTTTTTTCTTAGCACTGCTTTTCTTTTTCTAGTCACTATAACTATTTCTTCCTCTTTAATTCTTTTTTAAATATTATTTTATCCTGACAAACCAATTCATACTCTACAATGTCTTGGGGAGAGGGGAGGGGAGTAGTTTGTTGACAGCTGTACTTTAGAGAGTCCATATAGTATTCTGAGTAAGAACCAGCTTTGGAATCCTCCAGCTCTGGATTATGGTCGTAGCCTGGCCAATTACTAGCTGTTAAGCCTTGGAAGTTTCTTTCACCTCTCCAAGCCTGTGCATATTCATTTGTAAAAAGTGATGGGAAAAGGTCTTATATATTAACTAAATAACTCTTGCAAAAATTATTTGCATTGTGTTGACACAGTAAACACTGTAGTTATTATATGTTTTAAAATAAATAGGACGCTTCTTTCACATTTAAATAAAATCAGTTTTCTCAGATAACTACAAGGTCCTGTTTAGTCCTATTTGGCCCCTTTGTGCAACTAGTACTTAACTAGAAACTGCAGTGAAATCATACAGGAATGTAGGACAGGAGGAGAAAGCAGTGATCCCATGATAATTTGAATGCAAATGACCAAATGGATAACATGAGGGAGAGAAAGGAAAAGGATTAGGTCATGGATCAACTGAATTTTGGAAACATTTTAGCCTCAGGAACACCTTTTCTTCCCTTATAAGTCTTATGCTTAATGCCCTAGAATTTTTAATTTTATTCTGGATAAGAACTGTTACACGGTTACCATTTATGAAAACTCATTCATTCATAAACTTGATTTTACCTTTGAGCAAACTTCAGAAAAGAGTGACTACCGACATGTTCTCAAATGCTTTTCTCATTATCTTCTTTAACGTTTCTTTCTGAAAGCATCTTAGTGATGACTGTGATTAAGTTAATTGTGTGCACCCATATGTACAGCTTATGGCAATAACAAAGAGCAGTCATAGCAGAAACATAATGCAGTATGTTTCAACATGGAGCAGCCACAGTCCTCTCAAGGCTGGCCATGTCTGCAGTCTTGGGCTAACATCTGTGGTGAACAGAATATCCTGTGTTTCCTTCAGCATGGAAATGAATTGACAGTTATTTATAATAGAGAAAAACTAATGTAAGTTTTTGTGAAAGTAAACACAGTTTCAACCCATGGCAAACTGTTAAAAAGGGAAAGGATGGAAGATGGATAATTTTGACTGACTGAAATGGCTTGAAGATAAAAAGATATCTGTGGTGTGTAAGACAGTGTCTTCAGGCTGTATAAATGTATCATCAACTCTGAGAATGATAAAGAGTTCAAAGTTTCAAAAGGAAACCAACCCATCCTTAGAGTAATTGTAAACAGTGGAACATCCATGCAAAGATGAAATTATATAGTTTTGTTAATAAATGAAAAATTGTGATGATTTCATCAGTTCTCTTTCCTGGTTCTTTAAGAATGGACAGAAGTAGGGAGGTCATAAGAAAGGAAGGAATAAAGGAAGGAAGTAAATGTGTATGTATTTATCCCAAGTAAAGATGATGCTAGTTTTTTCTGCTGTATCAATAACCTCACTCATTCATAATTAATTTCACCTGGTCAAATGGCTGGTTAGAAATAGTGGAGGTTGGGGCGCCTGGGTGGCTCAGTTGTTAAGTGTGTGCCTTTGGCTTGGGTTGTGACCCCGGGGTCCTGGGATCAAGCCATGCATCGAGCCCCACATCGAGCTCCCTGCTCAGCGGGAAGCCTGCTTCTCCCTCTCCCACTTCCCGCTGCTTGTGTTCCTTCTCTCGCTGTGTCTCTCTGTCAAATAAATAAATAATATCTTTAAAAAAAATTGTGGAGGTTTTTGGAATTGTGTGATGCAAAAGTAATGACCTTGGGCCAAATGATTTGTCCTTAAGCAATTATTATGTGCTTGCTGGCCAAATACTTTTGTGAAACTAGTTTTCACCAAAAACAATATATATTTGGCTTGATCTGAGCAACACTTAACTTTTTCAAAAAATAATTTACTTCCAAATGATAATGATGTGCAAGTATTAATAAGAAATATATATATATTCATACTAAGAAGATTTTATTCCAAATAGAACCAGAAAGTAATATTTCTCCACTTGTAACTGAAATTTCCACTTTTGTTTAGCTCCACAACCCTTTTATCTGAAAACCTAAGATCTGCATCTCCACTTGAAGTTTTTATTTTGAGACAGTGGAAGAAAGAATCATTTCCTCCTGCTCACATTGTGATTTTACTTCTCATTTTAACTTTGATGGGATGCAAATCCATCTTATTTTCATCAAATAACTGTCTGACTTAAGTAGACCTACCATTCATTGAGCTTATTTAAACATAGGTTGTATTACAGCTGCTCAGTGAGGTAGGTATCTTTGAGACTGTGTCATTCAAGAAAGCCACTGAATTATCTGTCATGACCTGACTTTCCTTACTATGCTGAATGACTATGAACAGAATACATCATTGAGTCTAACTTTTGATTTTCTTCGGCAGCATAAGTTTAGACAAAGGTAGTGGGCATCTTTGATATTGGTAAACTGAAGAATACCCTTCACACAATTAAAGTTATGCGAGAATTGTTTGATATTAGTAGTTTTATTTTAGACATATATAGGTATACTGAGCTTTGGTGAAAAAAACTTGGGAGAATGCTTAGCACATAGTATAGTAAGTGCTCAAAGCAATTTTATGAAAGACCATCTATCATTTGTCAGGTCTCTGTGAAGGATTCAAAAACCTGTGAAATACGATAACTGGATGGTAGTAATGATGAGAAAGAAATTCCATATAATGGAACAAAAGTCTTTAGTTCTCTACCTTGGAAAGGTCTAAAGAGAGATTTAGAAAAGATTTTAATAGTGGCCCAAGAATGGTGTCTGAAGAGGATGGAACTAGATTGTAAAGAATGGGCATTATAGGGCGCCTGGGTGGCTCAGTTGGTTAAGCGACTGCCTTCGGCTCAGGTCATGATCCTGGAGTCCCTGGATCGAGTCCCGCATCGGGCTCCCTGCTCAGCAGGGAGTCTGCTTCTCCCTCTGACCCTCCCCCCTCTCATGTGCTCTCTCTCATTCTCTCTCTCTCTCTCAAATAAATAAATAAATAAATAAATAAATAAAAAAGAATGGGCATTATATTAAGTCTATGACCTTGAGAATTTCATGGATACTGCAGACTCCCTCTGTAGATCATTGTAGTTTGTGTGACAATCTAAATGTTCTTTGGAATCCACATTTTCTATGTGGTGGTCATCATTTCATGGGGAGCATACTAAGGACCGGTGGTAGTAGAAATCATTATCCTTTTGTGGTAACTTTTCAAAAGCAGTTGTGTCCTACATGTTTGTTGCTTTTTCTGCCCTCTGTTGCTCCCAGTGAAGGCCAAGCCACCCCAAGTGATTTGGATAAATAGGAAGAGTTTACCATCTGTGGGGATGCATTGGGGAAGGCAGGGAACTTATGCAAAAATAGATCACAGAAAAAGCAGTATGTAAGTTATACATGTGTAGTTTACTCTCGAATTACAGTAGATAATGAATGTTGTCCATTCAGAAGAGCAAAATATTTGTTTTGGCTACCTATCAGTGAAAGTCTAGCTCATTGGAAAAATTAAAGTAGTATTAATTTGAGGAACTAGTATATTATTTTATTAGAAGTTCTACCTGTATAATTTTGGCTGACTTGGTAAATAGATTTTGGTGACTTGAGTTTAGAAGTAGCATAATAAAAACTCTGTTGACAGGTTGGCCAGGAAGTGCTATGTAGAAACTCTCTCCACCAAAAAAAGGGGGGGGGGCAGGGAGAGCAGAAGCAAGACCATTTGCTGGACTCTTCAAATGATCCTTCTTGCTCCTTATTGTATTGATCAAGGCATGAGTTGGTGAAGAACTGGACTAGGGAGATAGCAAAGAGAATGGCAAGGAAGAGACTCTAAGTGGGAGAATTCCTAGAACCTGCTAACTTTGAATAGATGTATATATAACAGTCATTAATATTTATTTATCCCAGCAACATGTGTATTATTTTACTTTTGTTGTCTCATTTAACCTTCTCAACCATTTTGTAAAGTATAGGTACTATTATCATAATAAATTGATTAATTTGATTAAGCTCACACAGGGGCACCTGGGTGGCTCAGTCAGTTGGGCATCTGGCTCTTGAGTTCACTTCAGGTCATGATCTCAGGGTTGTGGGATTGAACCCCACATTGGGCTGTGTGGAGCCTGCTTAGTAAAGATTCTCTCTCTCCCCCTCTCCCTTCCCTGCTTGCCCTCTTTCCTCCCTCGCTCTCTTTAAAAAAAAAAAGAAATGATTAAGCCTACACAGTTAATAATTATCAGAACCAAAATCCAAACCTTGCGTTTGTCTGAACCCAAGCCTTGTTGTAAAGGATACTGCTTATCAGAGCCTAGAACAAAGAATGTTGCCAACACTTTTAGTTAGGAGACAGATGCCCATTAGAAGTCTGGTTTAATGTTCATCATTGGCATATATATAACATAAACTTTTCTCCCACCACTTTTTTTTAGTGCGACTTCATGACAGCATATCAGAAGAGGGCTTCCATTATTTGGTGTTTGATTTGTAAGTACAACATGCTTTGTGTTCATTTATTTTTGCTATTTGAAGACCATTTTGAATTAAACATGATTTTTTCTAATTTGCAGTCTAAATTAATGATCCTATAATTTTTTTAGATGTTTTCAAATAACATTCAACTCTAATTCTTTTGAAAAAAATGTGACTGTTCAGGAGTGTTTATTTAAAACTTACATTAATCTTCATAACTCAAACAGGAGTCTGTTTGGATTGTTCACTGTGATATCATAAGCAGTTCTCAGTTTTATCTTTGGGCATACAAATGGCTGATGTGAGCTAATTTTCCATTGAATTTTTTGTCTTATATAAAAAGAACCATAGCTAACATCATACTCAGTGAAAAAATGAGGGAATTTTTCTCTAAGGTCAGAAACAAGATAAGAATGTTCACCTCACCAGTTTTATTCAACACAGTCTGGAAGTCCTAGCCACAGTAATCAAACAAGAAAAAGAAATAAGAGGCATCCATATTGGTAAGGAAGAAGTAAAACTTAACACTATTTGCAGATGACATGATAACATACATAGAAAACCCTAAAGACTCCACCAAAAAACTATTAGAAGTAATAAATAGTCAAGTTGCAGAATACAAAATTAATATGCAAAAAATGGTAGCATTTCTATACACTAAAAACAAAGCAGCAGAAAAGAGAAATTAACAGTTCCATTTACAAATGCACCAAAAAGAATAAAATGCCTAGGAATAAACTTAATCAGGAAGGTGAAAGACCTGTACTCTGAAAACTGTAAAATATTGATGAAAGAAATTGAAAACAACACAAACAAATAGAAAGATATTCCATGCTCATGGATTGGAAGAATTAATATTGTTTAAATGTCACCACTACCCAAAGCTATCTATACATTCAGTGCAATCCCTGTCAAAATACCAGCAGCATTTTTCACAGAACTAGAACAAATAATACTAAAATTTGTATGGAACCACAAAAAAACCAAATAGCCAAAAGAGTCTTGAGAAGGAAGAACAAAGGTGGAGGTATCACAATCCCAAATTCTAAGATCTACTACAAAGCTGTAGTAATCGAAACAGTATGGTACTGGCACAAACAGTCACATATATCAATGAAACAGAGTAGAGAACCCAGAAATAAACCCATATTTATGTAGTCAATTAATCTATGACAAAAGAGGCAAGAATATACAATGGAAAAAAAGCTGGTCTCTTCAATAAGTGGTGCTGGGAAAATTGGACAGCTACATGCAAAAGAATGAAACTGAACCACTTTCTAACACAGACATAAAAATAAACTCAAAATGGATTAAAGCTCAATAATTTTGATAACAGTCATAGCAACATTTATGTCTCCTCAGGCAAGGGAAACAAAGGCAAAAATAAACTATTAGACTACATCAAAATATAAAGCTTTTGCACAGCAAAGGAAACCATTAACAAAAGTAAAAAGGATGCTTAATGAATGGGAGAAGATATTTGCAAACGGTATATCCGATAATGGGTTAATGTCCAAAATATATAAAGAACTTCTACAACTCAACACCAAAAAACCCAATCCAATTAAAAAATGAGTAGAGGACCTGAATAGACATTTTTCCAAAGAAGACATACAGATAGTCAAGAGTCACATGTAAAGATGCTCAATATCATTCGTCCTCAGGGAAATGCAAATCAAAACTACTATGAGTTATCACCTCACCTGTCAGAATGGCTAAAACCAAATACACAAGAAATTTAAATGTTGATGAGGATGTGAAGAAAAAGGAACCCTGTGTACTGTTTGTGGGAATGTAAATTGGTGCAGCCACTGTGGAAACCAGTATGGAGGTTCCTTCAAAAATTAAAAATAAAAATACCATATGATCTAATAATTCCACTCTGGGTATTTACCCAAAGAATGTGACAACCCTAATTTGAAAAGAAATAAGCACCCCTGTTTATTGCAGCATTATTTACAGTAGCCAAGATATAGAAGCAATTTAAGTGTCCATCAGTAGATGAATGGATAAAGAAGATGTGGTGTGTATATATACGCACACACACACACACAAATATATACAGTGGAACATTACACAGCCACAAAGAAAGGATGAGGTCTTGAGAAAGACAAATACCATGTGATTTTACTCATATGTGGAATGTAAAAAACAATAGTGAATAAACAAAAACAACAACAACAAAAAAGCAGAATCAGGGAACAAATTGATGATTGCCAGAGGGCAGGGGGGTGGAAAGGATGGGCAAACTGGATGAAGGAGAGTGGGAAACACAGGCTTCCAGTTATGGAATGAATAAATCACAGGAATAAAAGACATAGGGGAATATTTTCAGTGATATTATAATAACATTGTATGGTGACAGATGGTAGGTACACTTGTGAGCATAGCATAATGTATGAAGATGTTGAATCGCTATGTTGTGTACCTGAAACTAATGCAACATTGTATGTCAATTATATTCAAATAAAAAAATTAAAAATAAACTATAATTCAAATAATGGAAAAAGACTAAAAGAAGGGTCCTTGAAGTTGGTTAACTCAGTGGTTCAATAACAGTATCAGACTCCCGTATTTTACTTCATTGGCTTTGTTCTCAGATTGGTATCGTTCAAGGTATTATAAACAGACATGCTAATGTCCAGTGAAAGACATTGTCTCTTGTTCTTTATAAGAAGGAAAAATTTACCCAGTAAACATCTCATTTCCTCTCACTGGCCAGGATTAGGTCATATACCATTTGACATAGTAATTTCACTTCTAAAAATGAAGTCCGTGGAAAGCATACCCTAAATTTAGATAAAACTTTATGCCAAACAATGTTCATTGCATCAGCTTTTATAATGGAAAAAAAAGAAAAAAAAGAAAGGCAACTTAAGGATCCAATAATAGAGAAGTAGTTGCATATTTATGGTAAATTCATATAATGGACTACTGTCCAGCATTTTCATGTAATGCTTGGAAATAAAAAAGATATTTTTTGTAATATGACTCTAAAGATAGGTTAGTGTTAGACTTGGTTAATTCAGCCCTTCAGTTTTGTAATTAAGAAATCAAGTTTTTTTGTATCTTTTTGGTTGTTCTCTGTAGTATGTGAGTTTGTTCTCAGGTTGGTGCCTCATTTTCAGATATCAGTGACTTTCACAGTCAGAAAAAGGGACAGTATTAATGCCATTGCAATGTTTTTATCCTTTCTCAGCAGTCCCTCAGAAGATAATCTGTTAATGAATCCCTGTTTATTTTTATTTTTTATTTATTTATTTTTTAATGAATTGCTGTTTAGAATTGCTTCTCATACCCGTGCCTGAATCAAGTATTGATGAAGGGAATGGAATTACAATTGGCATTGACCAATTATAAATTTAATATGTAGGTCTTGGGAGGTAACTGGCCTCCCTTGAATCACCAAATGCATGGTCAGGTAAGATCCAAATCATGGCTTTGTTAACAAGAAAGTAGGGGAGTTTTGCCTATTAGGTAGGCAGCCAAGTGTGTCTGTCATATTGGTGATTGATGTGTGTTGGAGAATAGAGACTGAAGCTCTGATTATGCACAGCCCCACCATATAGGCTCCTCTCCACAGTCACAGTCCCATCCATGGCTTGTTCACGTGGCTGTAGTTTGGCACCACTCCATATTGCACTAGTCCTTTCTCTTCAGTCCTTTCTCAGAGCTCATATTTTTACTTTCTCCATTGTTCTTTCTTCCTTTCTCATGTTCTAAGATCCCTTTTTATGATTTCCTTTCTTCTTTAATAACTTCCTTAGCCATTCTTTCAGAGTAGATATGCTAACAACAAATTCTTACTTTTTCTGAGAATGTCTTGATTTCCCCTTCACTCCTTTTTGCTAGATAAAGAATTCTAGGTAAACAGTTATATTCTTTTAATGTTACATCAATTCCTTCTGGATTATCTTATTTCTGATGAAAAATCTTTTGTCATTCTGTTTTGCTCCTAAAAATAACGTGTTCTTTCTCTCCAGGTGCTTTAAAGATTTTTTCTTTGTAGTTTTTAGAAGTTTGATCATGATGTGTCTTGGCTTGGCTTTCTTAGAATTTATCTTATTTTGTGTTCATTTAACCTCTTGAATATACAGGTTTATGTCTTCTCCCAAACTTGGGAAATTTTTAGACATTGTTTCTTTGAATACTTTATTAGCCTTGCCTTCTTTCTCTTCTCCTTCTGAACTTGATAACATGAATGCTAGATCCTTTGTTATAGCTGCATAAATTCCTGGGGCTCTGTTCATTTTTATCTTTTTTTTTTTCTCTTGTTCAGATTAGGAAATTTATACTGTTTTCTTCAAGTTGACTGATCCTTTTTTTTTTTATTCTGCTGTTGAATGCATCCATTTCAGTTATTGTATTTTTTCAGTTCTACTATAGACTGTTGGTTTTTCTATAAATTCTCTGTCTTGCTGAGAGTTCCTATTTTTTCTGTTTGTGTGTTTTTAATTGCTCACTGAAGCATTTTATTAGGCTGATCAAAAATCCTTGTCGGATAATTCCAACTGCGTTGTCATCTTGGTGGTGTTGGTGTTGGCATCTGTTCATTGTTTTTTCTCATTCATATTGAAATGTTCTTAGTTCTTGATATAATGAGTGATTTTGTATTATATCCTAGACATTTTGGGTATTATTTTACGAGACTGCGGATTTAATTTAAATCTTTGTAGCAGGCCTCCTCTGATACCACATTGGCAGGGGTTATTAGATGCCATCTTACTACTTTCAGGTGGGAGTGGAAGTCTAGGTTTCCTATTTAGCCTCCTATGGCACCCCAGGGGTGTTCCTCCTCACTGCTGGGCAGGGCTTGGGAGAACAGGGATTTTTTTTTTAATGCATTTAATGAGAGAAATGTATCTACCCTATTTTTTCAGACTGTTGTTATTTCTTAATAGATTTAATTTGTTAGATATCCTTTGCTATATAAATCAAGGGTATGGTATTATAAACTGGGATATGTCCTTCATGCTATGATGAATGCTGGAAAGAAAAAAACTTTTGCTAATGCT